TCATTGTGAGCAGCTTAATGGCAACACATTGATTTCTGGGCCCAAAAGGTTAGAGAGAACTATAATTAATTGCTTTTTTTTGAAAAACCGACACCTGCACGATAAGGCAGTTGGAAAGAATTCATGTTTAATCAGGCCTATTCTAAGTTTGTGGCATAATGGAAGATTCTGGATGAGAGAACGCAAACTGTTTTGGGGGGATTTGCTTCGGGCTGCAAATAGTTTCTAAAACGTTAAAAACAAACATACCAACAAGCAAAGTAGAGTTGGGCATGAGAGAGTAGATGCAAAAGTGAATTTGTGATAGTGAGGGTCTCATGGTTTCTGGTGCATCAAGTTTGTCCTATGGTTTATAGAGACAAGTGCCAATTTATAGGCTATTCTTTGGGGACTTTCATTTCTTTCTACGTCTGCAGGTAGCAAGTCATCTTTACCAGGAGTCTTTCAGAAGGCAGAAACCCACATTTCTCACATGGAGAACTTAGTGGGAACCTGAGCGAGCAAGCGGCAGAGTCCCAGTCTGCTAAGTTTTTTGAAATGGTTCAAAGCCCAGCTCTCTGTAGTAACCAGAACAAAGTCCTCCTGCCGTCTTAATTCGGTGTTTCTAAGACACCGCGTGGTTTACTGCTCGCCCCATCTTCCAGAATTTTCGTAGCTTACCAAAACTGAAGGAATTTAGCAGTTTAGCAGAGACGGTAAATTACCTAAAGCCCCAACACCCCTCCCCCCCCACACACACAAAAAGTGTGTGTGCCAGGCTTTAGAAAAGCTAAATGTGTCGAGCTGTTTTAACCTTTGCTAGTCTCCTCCCATGAAAAGGTGACAAGGTCCAGATCATAGTATGTCCTTCAGTATCTTCCCAGTGACCCCCATATTGAGTCTTGCTAGTCACTTAGCAGGAAGTTGGTAGTTTATTTTAGTTTCACCTTATCAGCTTGGCTTCTTTTCCTAACCTTATTCCCCTGTCACCCTCAGATGCCAGACCCCCAAAGGGGAAGATTGACAGGTAGTCCCCATAGCTCAGTTTTACCCTCAAACAACAGGGATTTAGTTTCTTGTGCCTTTGCCAATGTTTATGTAGTCAAAGTTTAGATCTCGCCTTAAGGAGTCTCTCTTTTTACGCGTCACTGGAATAGGAAAAGCCACAAAGAAGTTTTTGAACAAACCCTTGCAACTGGAACCCCATCTAGTGTTCAGTTTGATTCATCCAAGGGGAAGACATTTTCCCCCTTTCATTTATTGTGTGCATTAGGTGGGTTTGTATCCCTGCTTTAAAAGGAGTGTCTTGCCCGTGTTGTTATTTTTTTCCAGAGATTTTGCTTGTATTCTTCCACTCGAGAATACACTAATCCTGGCCAGAACACGGAGGGAATTGAAGCGGGCCACTGATGTGTCATTTGGTTGCATATCACATAGAGGGAAACTTAAGACATTATTACAGAGAAGTATGCAGGGCACACGTTGGAGTGTTTAAAATTTCTTTGGAATCTTAAGCTGGACATTCAGATTTAGGTTTTTCCCAGGTCTGGGCAAAAAGAAAACACACAACATATATATGTATATTAATAATAAAAAGATAAAGACCAATCAATCAAAAATGTTGGTGATGGCCTTTCTAAATTAGTCTACGGGAAGGAACAGCCTGTAAAAATTACAGGCTCCAAAATCACAATCGTGTGCGATGTTCTATTAAAAATGTTAATGTGATCGTAAGGTAATGGAAAGTAAAGTGAAGGATCTTTCTGAAGAGCTCCAAAAAAGAAAACTAAATGTGATAGAGTAGGGTTGTTTGGTTTGGTTTGGTTTGGTTTGGTTTGGTTTTTTTCCTGGCTGGCCAAACCTTGCTGTGTGGGGCATAGTTTTATTTTTGTTTTCACAGTAGACAGATCTACTGGAACACTTCAATTTTCTGCCTCCTATTCTGCAATGTTAGGTTGAGATGATGAAAAACTGACAAATTTGAATTGGGTGTCAAGCACCTAAATAGTACAAGACCTAAAACATCTGGGATTTTTGTATAAATTGGATGGAACTGTAAGTTCACCACCTTATCCTCTAAAAAAAAAAAAAAAAAAAAAAAAAAAAAAATCCTGGAAAAATTCCAGCTATCTTTTTGTGTGTACAAACTTAGCAAACCACTACTTCTCAAACGTTCCTGCCTGACTTGGATTATAAAATCAATTTGTATGCAAACGCCATAGAAGAGGAACTGGAATGTTACTTTCACCCTAGTACAGGGAGCAAGGCAACTGTATTTACTATAATGGGGTCACCAGTTGCAATCCTGTGTTAACAGATTATTGAGAAACAAGATAGCAGACGGTCAAAAAATGAATTAGAGCATGTTTGTGTGTGTGTGTATCTTATTACAACTTAAAATATTCCTTCTGGTAGTTAAAGATTCAAACTAGTCCTCATGCTTTGTCTTTGTTGTTGTTGAGCTTCTTCATTGCAGTTCAGTTCAGAATGCAGACAGATATAAAGTTAAGAGCTATTTACAGTAGAGCGACACCTGCTTTTGAAATAAATCAAAACAGATACTGGAATTTTTTTTTTTTTTTTTGGTGTTCATAAACATCAGGAGATTAAATTATCGACTCTCCAGTGAGATCAAATGTCAGCTTATTAAAATGTTGTGAAAATCCAAGCTAAAACACGGGCAGCTTTTGAACACAGTCTCTTTCTTAGAAGCAAGCAGGTATTTATTTTTAAGCATCTACATTTTCCGTCCAGTTAGCACAATCCTAAATCTAAAAATGTTCAGGTTGAAAAACTTGAAAATTCTCAAGTGAGTCTTGAAGCAGTGCAAATGCCAGAATTCGAGCCCAGGAAAGTAATAATCAGCTAAATCCTGTAAAGTGACCTTCTTTTTATTTTGTCGATATATTATGAGAATATCAGATGTTTGCAAGTTATAAAGAATTAAAATGCCCTTTAATCGTGAACACAGATGTGCTAAATATTTGAAGCAACTACATTGTAATGTGTACAATTGATGAAGTCAGTTTTCTGATTTCCCTTGCTAGTTATTTAGTTCTGAATCTGTCATTATTTGTCTAAGCCCAGCTGACCAAGCAAAACTGTGTTTTAAAGTGGCTTTATGTTTTGATAAATGTGAGCTGGTTGAAAAGTATTTTCCACTGAATGCAGAGCTTAATAGAACATGCTGACATAATAGTTTTAATGCATTTTGTTGAAAATGTGTGAACAAACAGAATAGCTTTTGTTCCTTCATAATTGGCTGTAAAAGTAGATGGAAACATAACCATTACATATGGAAATGTGCAAAGAGAAAGAAATAACATTTCTGTTGAATATATTAGGAATTGCATTTCCTAGTTTAAAATAAGCATCTGAAATGGATGCATCATTTAAAATTGGTTGTCAAAATAAGAAGCTTTAAACAGAATTTTTGTCACATTATTTTTGTCCCAAGTTAAGCAACATAACTTTAGCGAATTTCGTTTAATATTTTGTTTACATTATTTTAAGGCAGGGAGAGAGACAGAAAGTGCTTAAAACAGCACCTTGAATGTGCACAGGAATCCGGTGCCAATTAGGATGATTAAACATTAAATTAAAACTGAATCATTATTGGTATTTTCTGCTACAGCTAAGATTTGTTTGGTATTGTTAATGCATTTTGCTCTATACCCTTGTGAAGATTAAAAGATGGGTATTAGAAAAGCTAGCTTGTTAAGTATAACTTAGCTACTCAAATAACACTCCCACTGAATAAAGTGTGCATACATTTGGCATACTTCACCGGGGGTTCTCATCAACTTGGGCATCACTCAAGGCAAAAAGAGTTAAAGTAATTTCCAGAAGTTAGTATTTAGGCATTAATTATATTTTCTGGAATGCAAAAGTACTCAAGCTTTTTTGGATGTTTACTACGAAAAGGCAAATGGCTGGCTCTTTGGAGTTGACTCTTAAGTTTACCGAAAAAGCAACATTTTGAATTTGTATTTATTCATATTTGCAGTCAGTTTTCTTTTCTTTTTTTTTTTTTTCCCCCTGCAAGTTTTCTGGGAGATTCAATTTGGAAGTCATGGAAACTAACTATTATCTGATTCAGTTCTGCAGAAAAGCATGCAGGGAGGTAATCCTTGAATTAAACAGTTTTTTTTTTTTTTTCACAGCCTTCGGAGATGACCACACACCATTTGTACAACAGAAGTTGGTGTTCCCCATGCTGGGCAAACAATGGGGCTCCATCCTGTCTTTGAATAGGATGTTAGCTTGGAGTTGGAGATTTTTATGTTTAATTTACAAATGGATCTTAGCGAGAAGAAATCTGAGCAACCAGTGGAAACAAACATGAAATAAAGGGATTTTTATAATGAAAGGTTCAGGACAATCTGTTAAACAATTGATAAGAGTTAAGAGCAAACTGTTTTTAAAGGCATTCAGACAAGGAGAATTGCACAGCCTTTCCAAACTCTAAACCAAGAATTATTTCTTCCCTTCCCCTTAACTGCACATCCTTCTAGAAGTTGATGTTGAATCAGAAATGTAAATCTTGTGCCAGTTTTTATAGATATAAAGAGCTCTTTTGATGAAATATTTAGAGGCATAACGTTGCCATTTGGAGCATAGTGGCATATATTCCTTGAATAGTGGAATGGTAGCCAAGGTTGCATTTTTTAATTTTAAAAATAAACATGCCATGGGGTGATATATAGGTGCCAGGCAGGCCTTGTAACGGATTATGATCATTGCCTTTCTCTTTGTTGTGTGTGTGTGTGTGTGTGTGTGTGTGTG